TAGAAAAATATGTTCCTTCTGAGTCCACATCTTAACATTAGGACATTCAGCTTCTAAAAGTGACCATTTCCCTGCTCCTGTGATCGCTCTTGAAAATGCAGGCAGAAGTGATCCAAAGAAAACCTGAAACCAGTAACACTCAATTATAGCAATTAGAAAATGCTTTGAGCAAACTATTTAAAGTGAGAGGACCAGTGATACACGTGCGATGCCGATGTGGCTCTTAGACACTTTATATAAGGAAGCACAGAGAAATATAGCGTTCAAAGGAAGTTTATTTTGAGAAACATGGACTGTGATGTACTCTCATTAAAAAACAAACAAACAAAATGACATGAAAAGATATGAGGCATAGCTGTAACAGTAAAAGTTCCACTGACAATTCTATGAAAAGAATACTGCTGCTAAATTATATGAAGATCCTAATAAATTTCATCCTGTAATTGGTACAGTAAGAAACAATGTAAAAAGATGGATTTTACAAAAGAATAGCACTTCTGTAATTTAACTGAAGCATTCAGAAAAGCCTGCCATTAGCAGCAATGGTGGAACCTTTACTTGAGGATGTTAACCAAAGGAATAGACATGTACATGTTCTGTCATGCATCTGAAACCCATGTAATGCTTCCTTCTCTTTTCTAAGTAGCTCTTTCAAAGTACTTTGATTAAATGTTTTGGGAGGAAATGTTAGATTTGATTTTTTAAATACTATTGTGCCGAGGTCAGGTGTGTAATTAGAATTTCTACTTAATATTTGTCAGAAGTGTGTTCCAACTAGTTCAAAGTTGAAAGGATTTGAATCATTGGTGTGCTTTGTGCATAAATGTTTGTCTCCTTTTTCAGAATTCTGCCATCCAATGTTTTCTTATGTGATTGAGGGGGTTTTGCTGCTGATGGAATCATGCTGAGAGGGAGTGAGCGGAGAAGAGTTTCAGGTGTCAGTTATAAAGTAAACATTGTTAGAATTTATCACTGAACGATATAGACAGCTACCTTTGATTTAGACTAGAGAAGTTACCTGACCTCAACAGAAATAAAGCCACACAAATACAGGCATGCATAGAATTGCTACAGATCTAATTTTTATTCAGTACAGTGAGGTAGTAGCAGGGAGGAGTGCTTCCATAATCTCTTACCTTCTGATTTAGTATGAGATTTGTACTGCAGGTTAGTTCGTTGCTAATCTTGCTAGTCACAGGTTCTAACCACTTTCTAATTTCCTCCAACCAGCATAGCTAGTCTGCAGCCTTTAGGCACTAGCTGCATTTTACCTCTTTTCCTCTCTTCTGTTTGTTTTTGTGCTTGCCACCAGTTCTTCATTTTTTTGTTGGGATTGATACCGCAGTATTAAAATCTTAAAAGCACACAGACAAGTGAAATCAAAGATATATGGTCTGTGTAACAAGTGAGCTGAGTGGTCCTATTGAATAAAATATGGAAATGTAGGGGTGGTTATTGATTTTACTTTTGTCAACTGTTAATGCATGGTTACTACAGCCTCCTCATGGGGCATTCCTTTGTACAAGCTGCCTTTTATAGACAACTATGCCCCAGCTTATTAAATAACAAAATAAATTAGAAATATGAAGAAGCGTGGCTATTTCTGTGATAGAAAGAAAACCCACCAAAACAGTTTAACTGTATTGTTACTCAGTGAGTATACTGTAGGTGCAAGCATGGAATATTTGAAACCCCTCCCATAAGTATCTGAAAGTGGTAAAGGAACATATTCCCATTCAACGTAACTAGGAAGATGCTGTGTTTTAAGAGAAGCTTAATCTGGAAATAGCATCTACCCTGAAGGTGCTGTGTTTCTGTACAGAAGGTCATCTTACAGGAACACGGGACTGGTGAAAGTGCAACTTTGCCTCTGCATTGCTTCAAGGTCAATTAGTGGCGAGAGAATACCCAGCTGCAGAGTCATGCTCAGATTGCACAAAAAACTCAGCTGAGATTGTAACCGTAAAAGGGAAATGTAATTAATGCTAATACAAAAATTGAGTATTTATGAAACATTAGGCTGAAATATTTACAAAACATCCATAATTCAGGAAATAGGGATATAGAAATAGAGAAATTAAGTTGCGTCTTCAGGAAACATTGTTTTGGATGTCTGTAAGAAGTAGGACTTGGCAAATCTATGTATAGTTGCAGGTAAGAAAGATTCCTTGGCTAGTAAGGATACACTGAACCTAAGGTATCAATAAAAATAAACGTATTTTAACCTAATAACTGTGAAGGTAATGTGTGTGTGTGTGTGTGTGTGTAACGTCTTGTTACTGGTTCCATTTTGGCAGTAATTCTTCTGTCCTGTGTGTTTTCATGTATCCATCTAAGGTGTGCCCAATTGTACAATGCAAGTTGCTCATTAGTTCTCTGCTGTTACACAACCCACCTGTCAAGAACCTCAAAAAGGAAAGATGTTAAATTGTTGAGCATGTACAAATAATGCATCTTGAATAACACTAGGATAGTGAATTAATGAAATACACTGTAAACAGGTAGATTTGTGTTTTGAAACAGAAGGGTGAACTGTCTTAAAATCCAAATGTAGATTTGGCCTGCAACAGCAACCATTCAGTAGCAGTATGGTAAGATTTGGAGGGAAAAGGTGTCCTGTTGCTCCCACTTTGCTGATTCTATTCCTGAAGCTACATTTTGCTTTTGTTCCTACTATGAAATTTCAGAGAAAATCCAGTTAGTATTCACAATAACTAACACTAACTTCCCCAAACCTGCAGTGCAGAAGGCAGGGAATTCTCCTGTGATTGGGCTTTGCAGCACTTTGGGTGTTCTGCCCAAAGGATCTGCTGATCTTTGCAGCGCAGCAGAAAGTGGCTGCTGTCACTAAAGCACTTTGAAGAATGGGAGGGAACTTAAGACTTCAGCTGCCTGTCTCAGTTGTCTGGGCTGCAGTGGTCAGAGTCACACAGGAGTAGGTCCATCTAAATTAATGGTTTAAATGGTGTTAGCCAAGCCTCTGCACCAAATGCAAGCCAGCAAACTCCTGATCCAATTCAGAGGTGGATTCTGGAGGCTGTGTTGAAACATGCACTGGTACCCTGTGCAGTGATGATGCTCCCAGGTACAACTGACAGTTTAGTAATCCCAGGCAACTCTGAAATTTTAGTCCTCTGCAGTATCTAATAATCTCTGATTTGCTGAATGTTAATGGTACAACTCCAAATAGAAATTGTTCAGACTGCCTTTGATTGATGCTCTTGTTTCCTTTACCTTATTTTATGAGCAAGGATAAATGCCATCAGGGGGTTTTCTGCATATATTTTTCAGCACTTTATCTACTTCTGTTATGTCCAGTAAATTCACCTCCTTTCCAAACAAAATAATGTTAATCTTTTAAATCTCTCCTTGCATGGATGACTGTCCCTGGTTTTAATCTGTTTATGACATTCTCCAGTGCTTTTCTGCTTCTGATATATCTTTTTTTAGATGGATGCTGTTAGTGAGCACATTGTTTCTAGAGAGGTCACGCCATACATTTATGTAATGGTATAGTATTTTAAATCTGCATTAAAAAGAGATGGTTGTGAGTATCTTTCTTTGGTTTACTTTGTTCCCAAAACTAACTAGTTAGGTCTTTCCTCAGCAGTATTTTCAGTCAGTTTAAATTTCATTGGTGAGTAGCAAAAATTTTTGTCCAGGGCAAATGTTCATGTCTTCTGTGGTTGCTCTGACTTCTGTCTGGCGACTGGAGACCCTTTTGGAGCTTTGCCCTTCAAAAGGCCAAATGTGTGTTGCTCATGCTGCTTCTTAAGGCAGTGGTCTTCTTCAGGTCTTTCACACTGCCTTTGAAAGCTGTTCAAGTTACCTAGCTAGACACTGGTTTTGCTTTTTTTTGCCTCCCCTCTCCATATCTTCCCCAAGTTTGTCCTTCTTTTGTTATTTAGGATTATGTATTAGGATATATATGTTTTTCGTGTTTTTTCTCCCATGGTTTCTCTTAAGCTTTGCCTTTTTTGGGGGTAGCAGGGTATCTACTGTTGCACTTCACTGAAACCACATTGGTAAACCCCTCATTTTTTGTGGATTTCCAAGATAAAGGCCAGTGGTTGCTTCACTGGGGTGCTTTAGGACAACTTGCATCTCTTTTATAGGCTCCGGGCTGCTCTCTGCCTGCAGTTTGTACATTTCCCACCCCCCAAAGCTCTGCCCTGTATTCCATTCCTGCAGGAAACAAAAGAAGACCTTTAGTTTCCACTTCTTTGTAAGCTATACAAAGATTTTTTTCTTACCATTCCATTCCATCAGCAGCCTCCAGGCGCTGAAATGACTCCTTGAGGACAGTGAAAAAGAATTAATGGAATGTATACATTCACTTAACTAGAAAGGTGCCTTACAGTCAATATAACATTAGAACAGGTGGAGGATAAACTGGTAAATGGGTTGGCACATGTATTTAAGACACCAGTGTAGGGAGAAATGTTCTGCAACTACTACAAAGCTTATACATCATAGATGTGACGAAACTTTGAAGAAATAATGTACAAAACATGAAGAGACTGATGTTTCAAGCTGGAGTGAGAGTTAAACAACATGCTAGAGACCTGTAGAGTATGGATGGAGGCTTTAAAAAGTACCACCTTGTTGTGCAATGATAGAACTTCATTCCCTCATAGATAAGCTTTCAGTTTTAGTGAAGTTCCATAGAAGCACCGGGTAAATGATACAAGTGCGTTTTGCCTTTCTTACTAAAATTATCTTAGTGTACTTAAGAGATACCATCATCTCTTAAAACCAGTATGAAGATGCTAATAAAACCTGTATGTGTGTGTTATATATAAACCTATATATAATACAGATTTGTATCTATAATTCTATAAAATTCTACTTCCAACATCTGTGCCATGCTTCCAGAGGAATGGGGCTAGAATGAGAAATTTAACTCTGCATAAACATAGCTGTAGGTCTTTGAACACAGGAATGCAGATACACACTCTTCATTTAAAGCAGGGTTAATTAATTCTTATTTTTTTATATAGGTATATCTGAACCTTCTTTTATTGCTAAAAGTGAAGATCGCTTGTTTAAACATTTATTTGAAGACTATCAAAGATGGGTTCGTCCAGTGGAACGCTTGAACGACACAATAAAAATCAAGTTTGGCCTTGCAATCTCCCAGCTAGTAGATGTGGTATGTCTAGTATATTATTTGGGAGTTTTGATTGCTTGTTTGTTCTCCTCATGCTTAAAATCCTGCAAGATAATGTCATATGAAGTAACTGTGCATATTTTAGCTTAAACACAATAGATGAAACCTCTAGAATTATTATCAGCATAATAAAAAATGCGTTGTAGATGGGGCACAAAGAAGCAACGGCAGAGGTTGGGAAGGCAAACGGCTCTTAGGTTTAGTGGTTTGTTTTTTTTTGGATGGGGACAATGTCAGTGAAATTCTTAAGCCCAGGGATTTAGTTGTGTTTTAATTTATTTATTCAGTGGGAAAACTTCATAATTTTAACCTTTTATCAGTCTAATGTCTGTAAAATTCAGGAACACTTGCAAACACTGCTTGTTTTTTTTTCCCCCTTTAAGCAGCAAAAACCCCTTAATCCCTCAAATGTACCACTTCCATAATAAGGAATACTATCTCTTGGATGTAGATATTGATACATATGTGATATATATCACATGTAGCCTGTGATGGAGAAGAGATCAACCAGATTATTTTTCCACTTCAGAATATTTTGTACAAACTGAATTCAGTACTTATAACTGTAAGAGGAGTTTTTCTTCCACGTGGTGGCTGTTCCTTTATGTTTCCATAGAAAACCAGTAAGACTGCATAAAATATACTCCAAGAAAAAAAATGGAAGGAAGGAAAGAGACATAGAAGGGGAAATATCTCACTGTTAACAGCTGAATAATCAAATGTCATAATTCTAGTGACTGGAATGCTTTTAGAAGTGTGGTTTGCATTTGAAGTTACAGACCTCTGAACTAGCACTAGTTACTATGAATGTACTGTGCAAATTTTTGACATCAAATATACTTTATTTTTATAGGATGAGAAAAATCAATTGATGACAACAAATGTCTGGTTGAAGCAGGTATGTGTCAAATAGCGATGGAAAATTGTGAAGCTTCGTAAGTGTAGGTCAAAAGTTGGAGGAAACTTTTCTAATTCATTGTATATTTGAAAAGCCTTATCTGTAGCATGAACTTTTATTTTACATAGTTACTTTAAAAACAATCCCTAGAAATGCTTTAAAGGATTATTTGTTAGAAAAACTCTTAAAAACCCAACCAAACAAGAAAGATACATATAGAAAAAATTACAACGTGAAGAAATCTGATACGGCATCGCATGGCTATTTAATATTCCAAGGTGTGTATATCCAACCATGAAAGTTACTGCTTCAGTACATAAGTTTTCTTTCTTTGTTAAAAAAGGATGGGTTTGTGTAGTCTTTTGTATAACAGTTTTTTAATATCTCTCTCGTATGCGGTGTTTGAGATGATCAGATAAACATCACTGAAGAATTTCACTTTCAAAGTTTTATATGTTTGCTATATAGAACTACTTTTTCCTCTTAAGTGTGTGGGCAGGAAAAGGCCTCAGGTTTTATACTAGTCAGAATCCAGTGATAAACTAAGCGGCCACTTTAACCTGGGAAATGCTGCCCACAAATCATTCTTGATTTAACTTAGAAGAATGTCTGCACACCCTGATTATACTTACTGGCTTCCTGAATTACTTTTGTTGGGCTATTTCTTTGGTTTTTTCCTCCCTGTTGCTTCCCATTCCCTTCTTTACAAGTAAGCGTAATTTTAGGGCAAGTTTTTCTTTTCAGGAAAGCTTTGAGACTGCTCAGCAAGTATGAGATGGCAACATGTCAACGAAAGCGCATTGTGCCCTCTTAAGAGTTTCTGCAGAATTTATTGCAGTTGAATCAGTCCAAATAAGACGAGAACTGACCTAAATATGTATTTAAAATTCTATGCGATGGTAAATTCTTAGCAATGTGAATTTTTCCTCTTGAGCTTTTAGTTCAAATATAAAATTCCCAAAGTACCACTGTGCTTTTAGTGGGGCTATTTTCAGTGTTGTTGGTAGAAATAGGAACAACTGTCATGTGAGAGTTGCAGCATGCTTTTTTTTGTGATGAAAATGTTTGTTACTTCCGATCAGCTTCCAAAGTCACTGCTATTCATTCAGAATTTATGTCTATAAATATTGTATAGACAACATTTAATTGTCTATGCATTATAATAGCTCTTATTTATGTATACATGCTTTAAATAAAGATTTTAATGTCCTCAGTTTGGTACAGAAATACTGTCAAGTGGCTCTTGCAACAGAAGACAAATAGTGGATGAAGTAAAAAGCTGTCTGTTCAGCAAATTCACTGTGCTATGCAAATTTTAGAAGCCTGTTTGATCTGGTTTTAATTGCATTTGTATGTATCTTCATCCAGTCCTGCCCTGCTTAAACCAACTTTCCCAAAATAATAATTGTTATGTCTCTTATACCCACAGGAATGGATAGATGTAAGATTAAGGTGGAATCCTGAAGACTATGCTGGAATAACGTCTATTCGTGTCCCATCAGATTCTATTTGGATTCCAGATATTGTGTTGTATGACAAGTAGGATTTTTATCTTTTCATATAAAATACATTTTCTTCTAACTTTACTGTCCAAGCTGCTTCTAGGAGGTTCATTGGGTATTTAAGGGTAGAGCTAAGTATTCAGTAGAGCTGTGGAAGAATTTGCCTCTGCAAATGTATTTGATTGTCATGTTAAATGTTAAATGTTTTGCTTTGCTTCTGTATGGAATATCTAGTCTCTCTGAAAAGTTTATTTCTGTTTCTTCATGCAAACTCTTTTTTTAATTGAAAAGCCATGTCTTGCACAGTGCTGGGTACAAACTAATAGTGTAGAGTGGTGGGAGGGAAGCAACTAATTCCTGCCGTTGTAAGTCATATTTAGGATGGATTTAGAATGAAGTACACTCAGCTGTAATGGTTTGGGTTTATTTTTTTTTCTTTGAGACTTAACAGATTTTTAGAATCTTTGTGCTTTTATATTTCGTGATTGGTGAGGCAGGAGGAAACGCTGTTGCAGAGATTGTGTTGCTGTAAATTCAAGTTGGAGGTGGCACACCTGTTATTTTGCCTGTTCTGGGAACTTTTTGTTGTTCAATAATTATCATTTGGCCAAATTGAGAAGTCTTTGTGCTGTATTCCCAGTAGAGACCAGAGTTTGGTCATGCTATTAGAGGTCAGGATTTTTACAATCCTTTCATAAGTCATTGGGACCCCAGAAAGTTGCACAGATCTTTTCATGACTTGAAAACATTTTTCACCCTCCTGAAGTTGGTTGTTTGTAAACTGTGTACACATACAGAATGCTGGCTATGGAGAGGGAGAAGGGAGAAACAGCTGAGATGACAATAACAAAACTTATTTTCTTATTTAAAACCACCCCCCCACACACCCCCTCCCCACACTAATTGCATGCATCTATCTCTCTTCTTTCAGTGCAGATGGACGTTTTGAGGGAACATCTACAAAAACTGTGGTGAAATATGATGGCACCATTGCTTGGACTCCACCAGCAAACTACAAAAGTTCTTGTACTATCGATGTAACCTTCTTCCCCTTCGACCTCCAGAACTGCTCTATGAAGTTTGGCTCCTGGACTTACGATGGTTCACAAGTTGACCTAATTCTTGAAGATTATGACGTTGACAAAAGAGACTTTTTTGATAACGGAGAATGGGAAATAGTGACTGCAACAGGGAGCAAAGGAAATAGGACTGATGGATGCTGCTGGTATCCTTTTGTTACATATTCGTTCATAATTAGACGTTTGCCACTTTTTTACACATTGTTTCTCATTATTCCTTGTATTGGCCTTTCATTTCTGACTGTCCTTGTCTTCTATCTTCCTTCAAATGAAGGTGAAAAAATTTCACTTTGCACTTCAGTACTGGTATCTTTAACTGTGTTTCTTCTTGTTATTGAAGAGATTATTCCGTCATCTTCTAAAGTTATTCCACTTATAGGAGAATACTTGGTGTTTACGATGATATTTGTGACGTTGTCCATTGTGATAACTGTATTTGCTATCAATATCCATCATCGTTCTTCATCTACACACAACGCTATGGCACCTTGGGTTCGCAAGATATTTCTTCACAGACTTCCCAAGCTGCTTTGCATGAGAAGTCATGTGGATAGATACTTTCCTCAGAAGGAGGAAACAGGAAATATGAATGGATCAGAACCATCTAGGAACACCTTGGAAGCAGCTCTAGATTCTATCCGCTATATTAGAAGACATGTTATGAAGGAGAATGAAGTTCGTGAGGTGGGTGTTTTAGTCACATTACTCCATTTTTTTTTTAAACTGGAAATTAGAAAAGCAAGTAATGGTTTACTATGAAGTTGCATATTAAATGTGTGCTACGGGATTCCCAGTGTTTGTATTTCGCTGGAAGTTGTGTAATTATTTCCACACAGGGCAAGTGTGGAAGTACAAAAAGTAGAAGTATGGTATAATCCTGAGAATTCTTATAGGTACTGGGCTGATACAATACAGTCCTTGGGTTCTTTAGGGTTTTTTGCTTTCTTCTGCAGTTCATGTTGTTAGTTGCACATTGTCAGAGATACCTGTCTGTTACAAGAGCAGGTACCGTAACTGTTACCTGCGGTGCTGCGGGATATTTTTGTGATGAGAGAAGTAGGTATTTTCCATTGTACTGTTGTACCTGAAGGCTATCTGAAAATGTATTTGCTTTAAAAGATTGCAAAGCATTATTTGGCAGCTTTCAATTCCAGATAAAACCAATTTTTAATGCCCTAGCTTGTATCAGTTTAAATACAAGCTGCAACTACATTGGTCATTTTGTGCTGAGATCACACATGGACTAGATGAATTCTTGAGTGTTCTCTTCTAGCCTTATTATTTGTCCCTACATTAAATCAAAAGGTGTCAAAGGCTTTTTTTCAGTCTGTACATTTGCACTCTGACCTCTCCTTAATGGATGTTTACACCATTTGGGTAAGAGCATTATAAATCTGTTTTCGTACTGAGTTTTTTAAGCTAGCAGTGTTGGTACCTCAGAGACAAATGGTATTTTCAGGCTTGTGTAGAAATAGAGACATTTGTTGTGTGGTCTCATGATAATGCTATCTGTTTCTGAAGATTCTTTCGATCTATATGGAAGTGACAGTCTTCAAAATTGCTGGCTGCCAGGAACATGTTCTTACATGCTAGCCTAATAATAAGCTAACTCCTCTAATGTACCCTCTCAGGACTCAATTCTGACATTATCACAAGGTATTCAGCCTAGATTTTGAATAAATCTATCTACTGTACTGCTGAAACAGCATTTAATACCCCTGCATTGTATAAACAACACAAATAGAATAGTTTGATATTAAATATAGAATTTAATGTAAAGTAAGAGTGGGTTTCCTTTTTCTTACTGAACTCACACTATTTGTGAGTGACAAAGAGGTGGTAAGTGGTTTTGTTTTTCAGGTGTAATGTTGTGACTCTAAACCTCAAAAATTAATATACAGCTAACTGGGGATACACTTGTAATTTATTATTTGGGCTCCAGAGAATGCAGGACTTAATTGAAAAAGTTGTTAATAAAACCTGCATATCTCGTGCTGTTGTAGCCTTGCTTCTTGGGAAGCAGAAGTCTTAGGAAATGCGGATAGCTCCAGTTCAAGTCAAATACAATTGTTTGGCAGGGTTGAAATTTGCTTGCACAATTATATCTGCTGTACTTGCAAAACTGTGTATGGGTATGAATAATACAATTGAGAGTACAGTGAGTACAGAAAGTCTGGGAGGTGTGCTTTGTATGTGTGTGTGTGTTTTGTTTGGTTGGTTATGTATTTTTATACAACTTTTGCTTCTAGCTCCTGCCTGGCAATTCTGCTTTATGATGAGGCTGTGGCATGAATCCTAAATCCTGCAGTATGCTAGAAAATTGCATACTGGTTTCATCTCTCTGTAACTGAGAATGTTCAGTGCTTGTCAGGGTCAGTTTCTGCATTAAAATCTAGTGGTGGTCTGTATAGCTTACCCATTTTCATACATGGAAGTTTGGTCCTGTTCTAGCCCATAGAGTTGTTATAAAATTTATTAATATGTGTTACCGATGAACATGATTGGAAAAATGTGATTAAGAATTGCAGGGTCTGGTACTGTATCTTTTACTTGCACATACTGACCCAACTCTCATATTCTCTGTTTTTTAGGTTGTTGAAGACTGGAAATTTATTGCTCAGGTGCTTGATCAAATGTTCTTATGGACTTTTCTTTTGGTTTCAATAGTTGGATCACTTGTGTTATTTATTCCTGTTATTCATAAATGGGCAAGTATAATAGTACCTACAAATATAGGCAGTACAAATGCATAAAATAGTTTTGGATCTGGGTCCTGCTAATATGGCTCAGGAGTTTTGCAGTAGCTCTGTTTCCATGTATGTTCTTTGTAGGCATGTTTCTGATAGAGTAACAAGAAATTGAAACCCAGAAAATTATGTTTAATTTAAAGCATGGCATCCCTAGGACACATAGAAGTCTATTTGCTTATTGCCAGTCTAAGTTACCTTTAAATCAGGTCAGAATTAGAAGGATCTTCTTAAGCCCTTGCATGTATGATATGTCTGAAAACCACACACAGGCACTTGCTGCAAGGTAGAAGAATTTAGAATGTTTTTGTGATGATTGCTAGAGTCCAATTGTTAAATTATTGTAGGAATTGTTATATTGAATATTAAATACTTGCAGATATTAACACAGTAGAGTTGCTTATTTCAATTTCCTATAGTACACAAAAGAGAACTTTTAGTGGCTCTCTTGAATGTGTTGTAAAAGCATAAGGTTTATACAAAGTAAATTCAAAATAATAATAATACCAATAAAAATTCCTGTATATCCAACATATCAGTAAAAGTAGCAATCTGGCTGTGTTTTGCCTGTATTAATTCAATGGAATTTGCAGCTAAATTTCAATCCTTTTAGTTTTATTATACTAACACAAACATTTAATAGAGTAAACTTTATTAAAATGCCTGCAGGATACAGGTATATCGATATCTCTGTGTCAGTTATGGAGAAGAAGACAGACACAATTAAATGAGTTCCCAAGTTGCACAGGTATTCTAATGGACCAGAACATTCAGATATATTTATTCTTGATGAAGGATTTGATACAGTATGTTAGTTGAAAACAGGTTAATCATTTCCTGCCTTTGTGCATTTCTCAGAATTAAGCTTTTAAGCACAATTAGAAGGAATATGGGGAATGCCTTTCTGAAGGAAATGGGTTGAAAACTACTATGCTGTGTAACCAAATTGAAATGATTGATATTTCACACAGTTGTTAAACTGGACTTAGAAATTTACCTTTTAATCGGTTCTCTCCATTATAGAACCACATGTAACTCTAAACAATGAGGACTTGTGTCTTCCCATGCTTTTTTTCTGAAAGTGCTGAAAACTAACTTGTAACTTTTAATCCATTAAGATACATTCTTTAAATACTGATTTTAAATGTAGTATGATGCCACCTTTCTTAAAAGCTTTATTTCTGGAAGAGACACTAAAATTGATGGGGCTTCTCCACCACCAAAGTTTTGTCAGTGCACTTCGTAGTGTTGCATATTGCAGGGCTAGTGCAGTAATGCCAAGGTGGAGCAAGTCTTGTGAGGTTTTTATTTTTGTTTACTTAGATTTCTACATTAACATGCTTAGATTAGAAATGTAATGTAAATTGTGGTATCTTGGATAATGTAAGTTATGAATATGGAAAATGCATAAGTATTTCCCCCCATCTCTTTAAGAATAGTGCCATTTGGCACTGTACTGATCATAATGCTGATTGCTTATATCATAACTTATAGATTATTGAATATTTATTTCAAATGTTTTTTGTGTGTAGGACATTCTTGGGTTTGTGTAGCTTTTAAAGGCTCTTAAAATACGCCAGTTTATAATTAATTCTGATGATAAAGAGTCCCTCCTTCCTCTTCAGTTATACAATTACATCTAGCATTGGAAATCCGTATTTCCTCTATTCCCATCATAATTAATTTCAAACATGATTTTGCAAAAATTATCTGATTTAATCCATTAATATAATTTTCTCAGGATTACTAAGATTAAACAATGCATCAGTGGCTTTCTCTGCGTGGAAGTTGCAGAAATATGTTAGGTGTCTTCTTTCCTCTTCAAATGCTAAATTACTATTTATAGTCCTCCTTGGGTTTGAATTACTGAATTTTACCTTTACCTGAACAGAAAGCAAAATAAATAAACCTGTAGGTTAGCTAGATCTGTTATTTTCTTGAACTCCCCAACTCATCTCTTTCCTTCTCTCGAATGATGTCTGTAAGCCCACTTACATCATAAGGCGATGGGCAGTATATTGGCCGAAGGAGTCTCAGTCTTTATACTAGTAACTCACAGTTTTACAAATGCATTAATTTCTTTTAGTCACGTCTACAATCTGATCATGATAAATACAGCTAAGATAGGTGACACTAGAATTCTTAGGGTCTTCAGCTTATCAGGTGTGCCTGAAACAAAATACTTTTAATAGACTCAGAAGCATGGACCCTTCCTTATGTAAGTTGTTTCTGAATGTGTTGAACGGTACCTAATGCTGTCTTATACAGGCTTTTGTTACTTGGTCAAAATAAATGAAAAAGGAAAAAATGCACGATTTTTAACTGTTTGGTTCTCTTTATTTTCATCTGTGTTACACCACTTGATACACTGTATTTCCAAAAAGTTTCCAGTTTGGTACAGGGACAAAAGTTCATATACGTACAAAACATTTTCTCGTTGCAGTATTTAGTTGCATTCTTTATTCATGCTCTTAAATTATCTGCAGTTACTGATTTTAAAACCAAAGTATGCCTAAGAAGCAATTTTTGCATGCTTTACAGGACTATTGTGCAGCTACCTGCTTTCCCTTGTCATAGAACACTTCGCTATAGAAGGATGCTTCTGCATCCAAACTACCCTATCAAAATATTTTGATCCTTTGCATAACCTGCACACTGCATCTTAGTGTGCGTCCTGTACATAGTTTTAAACATTATTAGGTTTGAATAGCTTGTTTTTTCTGGCAGCCTTCTCATACACTGAAATACACGAATGCACAGACTTTACATTCTGGCTGCTTTATTACTACCGCCTATGATTTACCTATTCATTTTCCTTTTGTAATAAACCTCCCCTTGGTCCTTTCCTCCCACTGTTTGTTTCAGTTTATACACCAGGTGGCAATGTCTGCATTCTATCAATTTGGTATGCATGTTTTCTAAAACATTTTGTCCTCATGAGGGCATTCACTGAATTCAGTCTGAACTTAATTCCAGAAGATCCTGTCATACTCTGGAGACACTTGGCACCAGACTTATGGAAACAAATCCAGTAGCCTTCAACCTGTCTCGACTTTCAAATATTCAAGTAATTTTCAGTTTCTTTGTCAATCCTCTTCTTAAACCATTCCTATGGTGTTTGGTGTGCTGCCTACATCTTTTGCAGTTATTGCAAGAAGCAGCTGTCAAGCATAGCTTGTATTACTTTGAGATTAGCTGTTTTAAAGGTTTAAAATATTTTCTTTTTTTGTGTTTTCATGTTTTTAACAAAGCCTTCTTGGTCAAGCAAAGTTGAGGCCAAGAGAGATCCTTATTCTGCAACACAGAAGAGACATCGGGTGCTGTGGTGGGGGTGTGGAGTTGCTCAGCGAAAGTTTTATTTGATGTCACAACGCTCTATTTAATCTTTACATTTCATCTCCAGCCATCAAAGGTTGTAAAAACAATCCTGCTGTTCCTAGAATACATACCAGGATGAAAACCCACAGAAAAATACGATCAATTACCATGGCAACGTATTTCCAGTCATCCTGAATCTGAAAAATAAATGGAATAACAAGTAGGCATGTTTATTAGATCAGTAACTTGCATCAGCAGTTGGTACCACCTTAGGAAGGAAACACATGGCTTTTTCCCTTGTAGATGTCTTTCATATATGCACAACTTGCATATGTCTGTTTTCATGGACAAATTAGCTAATCTTGAAGAAGCTTTATTTGGATGTGCTATTTGTGGCAAAGCCAAAAGCTACTTCTTCATGTACAGAAAGTTATTTGCTAAGACACTGGACTTCATAAGGTATGACTTCTCACTGTATGCCAAAAATGAAAGTGAAAACTTTACATTCTTAGGTGATCAGGTTTGCCCAGAAAACTACTGAAGAGGCTGCTTCTACTGGTCTTTGATGATAAGAAGACAAAGGTTAATGGGTATATAATTAGTTGTAGTGCTGAAATTTAATTGTTACCATGCGTGATGTAAAATCCATCTCTTTACCTCCCATGCAGGGAGGGAACCAAGTTTCCAAAACCCAGATCTCTCTCTTTTTTTTTTTTTGAGTGGGCATGGTAACAGGAGGCACACTAGAATATAACAAATGTTGTATATTAACAGTAACTACATTACATGATCATTGGAGTTACTCTTGAGATTACAATTTCAACTTTTGCTTCATTTTTCTTCAGGAAGGCTTATATATGAATAATACATTTATTGCTTTTGAAATGTTGTGCTTTTTAGCTTAGAACTTGTTTGTTAAGGCACACTTTAAAAAAGCTCAACTAAACCAGCCCCATATTTTCTATGCCCACTTACTCTAAAGTTCTGATTTTGACATAAACAAAGCAACTTTATTCTAACTTTAAATGCCGTAGCACATAAGATTGAAATTGAGTGATGACTGTGGTGGTGTGGCTACTGCTCTTAATATGTTTGAGGAGCACGTAGAAAGAAAACTTTGTTTTCATTGCCTTAAGACGCAGTCTTAAGAGAGATCATGGTTCCTGTCTTGCAGCAGTTGTCTCATTTAGCTACAGTGCCTTTCTTTGCTGCAGCAGCACAATAACTGTGAAGGACGTTTATTCTTAAGTCCTTTGTTATTGCTGGTAAGCTCTGGAAGAGAGCATGTAACTTTCTAAAGACCATAGTCAACAAATTCCACTGTTAAGATTATAACTTGGAAAATCCTCACCCCAAGTCTCATAGGATAGATACTCACGTGTGGTGGTTACCTTGACGTGACTCGCTTAGTGTGTGTGTTGTCAATAAAGAGAATGTTGTGCAACAGAGCTGGACCCCAAAGTGATCTACATTCAAACCTGCATGTTTGTCATACAGCTTGGGTAGGTGTATAAAATAATGGTTTGTGGTGTCCTTTCTTTTTCCCTGGGGGTGCATGTATTGTGGGGGGTTTGAGATCTCTTTCTTACAAAACACACTAATGGCAAATGGTGTCTGCAGTTTGAGTAACAGTAAAATATGTTCTTACCTCTTTTGCTTCATTCTGCATTTTCATATTTTCTGCAATATATTTAACACTTTCAATAGCATCTCTCATTTCTGGTGACAGAACTGAAAACGAAAACAGAGGATCTACAGACTCGGAGCTTGAACTTCTTGTGAGATTGCCACTGAAATCAGAGAACTTCATTCGCTGGTACTGACAACAGCTGCATGCCATGTCTTGACATACAAAGCCATCTTTGCAGCATTTGGTTTCGGAACTGTTGAAGCAATTTAAGTTTGAAAACTCAGAAGTGAAAAATGGTTTTGGCTTCTGATTATTATCATCATCACTGGCAGGCCTTGTCATAAACATGATCCTGGGAAGTAAGTTCAAGAAAATGGTTCTCACCCACACCGGCATTGTGTGTGTCTTGGGTGTCCTGTAGTGCACGTTAAGTACAAAGACTGTAATGACGATAGATAGAGTTACAAATATCATGGTGAAAAGGAGGTATTCCCCAATAAGTGGAATTACCAGGGAAGTAGAAGGTATGGTTTCTGTGATAACAAGAAGGAACACTGTTAAAGATAGAAGGACTGATATGCAGAGTGTCACCTTCTCACCACAGTCTGAAGGCAAGTAGAAAACTAACACAGTCAGAAAAGAAATCAGCAGGCATGGAATAATCATATTGATAGTGTAGAATAAAGGTAAACGCCTAATGTAAAGAGAATATGTGATGTCTGGATATATCTCTTCACAGCAGTTGTATTTGATGTCATGTTTATAGCCAGGAGCTTTAATAATAGCCCATTCTCCACTCTCCCAGTAATCTTTCAGGTTCATTGTAGAGCCAATCAAAACTAAGTCAATTTTGGCTTTATCATAAGACCAGGAGCCAAACTTCATGGTGCAGTTCTGATAGTCAAATGGGAAGTAGGTTACATCTATTTTACATGAGCTTTTAAATATAGCTGGAGGGATCCAGGTCACATCACCTGTGTATTTTAATAGGGCCTTTGTCTTGTCATCAACCTGGAAATCCCCAACTGCACTGTGAAGCAAATAAAAACAACAATTAGAATGCGACTACTCTAGTAGTTTCATACATTCAGATCATATGCACTAACTCTTTAATCTGTTCTGGGAAAGTCAGTAAGTACACTTTGACATGGAACTGGATTCCATGTGCAGGCCTGAGTCAGTGGCCGTCACCAATTTGCATAGTTAAATAGCTGTATAAATAACATGGCTCAGTGCAATCAATATGCAAAACTGCAAATAGAAGATTGCAAATGACAGACCAATAGATAATCCTTGTAGGTCCCTTCCAACTCAACTGTTCTATTCTATTCTAGAGCAAGCACATCAGAGCAAAGGGCTGATCAGAGGATAGCTGGAGTACTGCTGTTTCCACCTCTTCTGTGAACAGTGCAGGTAGTAATTATGAAAAGAGGGATTAGGGTTGGGGTGCATCTTTGCATAACGAGTGTATTTGGTGAGGGTTTTTTTTAAGTGCCATATTGCTGTCCTGACCATGTGGATCTTAGATCTGTGTGACAATTTCAGTCATTTATATGAGAAAGTAAAACTAAAAAGGTAATTAAAGTTTTAAGGCCATAGTTAGAAAAGGACTGTCATCCCTATTGTTCCACAGACCTCAGTTTTGGATGTGTGTGGCGAAATCCATTGCCTGAGTACTGCTTCCCTACTGTCATGGTGCTTAAACCATGACACTTACCTAGCAGAGGGATCCATTTAGTTATGATCTGGCTTCTCGAGGTTTCAGAAACTGACATCCAAAGTAAACTTCACCTGTGTCCTTTGTACGCCAAAGCTATTATTGCAAAGGTGTCAAATTGTGAGTTTGAAAGCTAGAATTTGCAGGGGTTTTCAGTTGAGGTCTGACCCCCAGACAAGAACTGTCCGGTCTAAGGGAATTTCTTGTCAGCTACTCTGAGGACAGCAATAAAATAATAATAAAAGTGGGTGCTTGTGAAGGGGAAAAGGAGAGGTTGCTCTGGCCTGCAGCCTGCAGCTCCAGGTGAGGAGCTGGCTCCTGCTGAGAGGTGCTGATGCGGATGGCACAGAGGTGAGCACAGCAATAGGGTGATGGGGGCACAGGTGCAAACCAGGCTTTTTAGTTCATCCAGTGAACCTGCTGCTAATTTTAAAGTCTTAACATCACCCCTCATCTTCCCAAATTATGAAGATAAACATGCAAGAGTCTTACTTGTTATATAATACAATATCTGGCTTCCAGATCTGGCCAGATGGTACTCGGATGAATTCAGCGCCTCCATAGTCCGCTGGATTCCACCGAAGCTTGTAGTCATTCCAGATCTAATTATAGAAGAAATGAGTCTGTGTTAGGTTTCAGTGGGCTAGA